TGCGGCGTTTAGAATAAGTTAAGCGTATGCGTAGGATCCTATGCAATTTGTATTAAGTTAATGTATGCGCGTGTGTGTGTGTGTGTGATACAAGCTCTTTACTGGATTGTGGTAAAGAACTTGTATATGCGAGCCTATGAGCTATGTAGAGTCAGAACTCATTTATCCTTCTGATAAATGAGGTTGCATTTGGAGGGAGGAAGGGATTTGGAGTTAGGGTGGGTCGCTATCGTAGCCACCTCCACGTGGTGTGACCTGGTAATTGGTATAGTTCTCTGAAGGCTTTAAAAAATCTTCAGAGAACTATACCGAGCTAAGAGCTACGATTAGAATTTAATTTAGAATTTAAAAGCTACGATTGTAATTTTACTTATAATATATGTATATATAGTTGTATAGTTTTATACAGTCATATATATAACTAACCTAACCCAGCCTAATGTAATCTAACCCAACCTATACATTCATAGTTTACAGTGCAATTATAAGAATTTTTGAAAAATTATGTAGGATCATTAAGGCGCCCTCATCAGTCACCACTGCGTGTACCGGCTAGGTACGGCATTGGCAGCAAGCTGTGAGGTCAGCTGATGCATGCGCATAAAGCTCTCGCGTGAGATAAAATCTCACGACTGCCCAACACTGGGTGGAAGTCGAGCGCGTAGTAATGCAACGGGTGGAAGTCCAGCGCGTAGTAATGTAACGGGTGGAAGTCCAGCGCGTAGTAATGCAACGGGTAGAAATCCAACGCGTAGTAATAAAATGGGTGGGAGTCCAGCGCGTGATAATGCAACGGGTGGATATCCAGCGCGTGGAAATGCAACGGGTGGAAATTTAGGGCGTAGTGATGCAACGGGTGGAAATCCAACGCGTGGTAATGCGATGGGTGGAAATCCAGCGCGTAGTAATGCAACGGGTGGAAGTCCAGCGCTTAGTAATGTAACGGGTGGAAGTCCAGCGCGTGGTAATGCAACGGGTGGATATCCAGCGCGTAGTAAAGCAACAGATGGAAGTCCAGCGCGTAGTAAAGCAACAGATGGAAGTCCAGCGCGTGGAAATGCAACGGGTGGAAATCTAGCGTGTAGTAATGCAACGGGTGGAAATCCAGCGTGTGGTAGTGCAACGGGTGGAAATCCAATGCGCTGTAATGCAACGGGTGGAAATCCAATGCGCTGTAATGCAACGCGTAAAAATCCAGCGCATAGTAATGCAACGAGTAGAAATCGAATACACAGATTTCCTCCACAAAGTAAAATTTAAAGCCCCACAATTTCACTCTCAAATCCTCCAATTTTTTCCAGCAACTAACTTACCATAGAATGACGCATTTTACAACTAACACTAAAATGCAACCCAGATAGATATAAATTCGAGACGCTCGAATAAACTTGTCGCTAGGATATACAGGAATGGGAGTGTCGGTTTTGGCAATTTTTCGGCGAGCCGGGTGCATCGAAAACCCGTTCTGGTCTTCTCACGCACGTTTGCTCACCGTGATATCGTTGTACTCGTTTTTTTGTTTCCACTATGTTTCCATTTATTTCATGTATATGACAGCAGTGTACGATCTGCCTTGTCTGTCTTGTAACAAGAGAGAGAGAAAAAAAAATAAAACGGAAAATTATTAATACTTCCTCTTTGTCGTCATACTGTCTAGTATCGCTGTAGTAATTACAACTTGACACGCTCTCGATATATGAAAAAGAAAAATAAAGAAGAAAAAAAGATACATAAAAGAGAATTAACGAAACACGCTGCTGGTTTTCTCGCACCTTTTTTTAGCTTTTTTTTAAGTCACACTAAATTGTTTCGAACCAAGCGATCGCTCGTTCGCGGTATTAACATCTTCCTGCCTTTAAGTTACGCTGGCCGCAGCCTTAGTCTTTTAAGTAACAATCTCAAAATCTTTACAAACTACGATCTCTTTCTCTCGTTCCATTTGAACTACTTTCACTATAAATTTTAAATCCGATCATCGTTCGATACCCGATTCCTCGAGAGAAAGAACGCGAGTTTTTTAAAGAATTTAAGTAAATAATGACACGAAATGTTTGCGTTGGATTGCAATTCGCTGGTTGATTGTACTCGTTTCGTTATTAACACGTTGACTGCCACTGCGAGATGACACGTTATTTTTTTATCGACTCTTAGAGACTCAAAATTTGTATCGTGAAAGATATTTTAAAATGTTTAAGTAAACTATAGGCCGTGTGAAGCATCGTGTCAGAGGGCTTAGATTTAAGGCATAACCCCATGGAAATCAACGTGGTAGAACGCGTACGGAGTTGGTAAGTACACGAAGGACGAGAAGGAAGTCGTTACAAACGAAATCTTCGCGTCATTGGTTTGAACAACCATTGTTAAGTCGCAAACGCTTGTTCCTGGCTCGAAGATACTACGGCTTAGAAGAACTACGTTTCGTATTGTCGTTGCGGTATATAAAGCACTGTTACGCATCGATAAGGCACGATCGAGGCCGTATCTCGAGGCGGTTAAGTACTGTGCGTCGACGGCGTGACAGAAAATGCAAAAATAAAATTCTCCAAAACGAAATAATTCACCGGCAGCGAATTAACACGTTGAATGCAGCGAGCGCCACAAATACGGTATTACGAATTAACGTGGATTAATAATTGATGCGTTAATATTTATATTCCGTTCAATATGCAGGGTTGCAAAGCTCGAAATATAGAATTGTAGAAAGTCTTTATGGCAGTCAACGTGTTAATCGAAGAGGAAACGAATTTTCCAAGTTCTCGCATTTTCGCGACGGTGTCGGCCATTGACGAACCCCGAGGGGCCTCGACACGATCTTATCGCTAAGTATACGAAGTATGAAGGCACTCAAGTTCGGGGTAAAGTATCTGTTGCCGCGAAGTTCGACCACGGAAATCCGGCCTCCGGATGATGTGTCTTCGAGGCCCGGAAACGCTCCTCCGCGCTCGCATATTGCACCCCCGGAACGTGCAACTTCCCGGAGAGAATCGTTGGGGTTGCATACTTTCGACCGATCGATTCTGCAAGATCGACGCTCCCCTTTTTCTTCCGTCGCGAGTCGTATTATTTTTAAGGCACAGAAACGCGAAGGATATTTGACGTTGATTCGTTAGACGTCCGGTCTTGTCTTCGTAGGCGAATTCGTTATTATTTCAAGGGATGATCCAGTTCGAGAGACGTTCGACGAGATGAAAGGGAGCGAGCTCGGGGGGCAAGGGAGCGGCGGAGAGAGCGGGCAGAGCAATTGTACCGAGGGAACAGAGGTTCATAAATATTTCATGGAACGTCGTTGGACGAGATCGCCGGCGAAAAAGACACCGTTGCGTCGTCGCGCGGTATCCTCGTTCTCGCTAAACATCTGTGTCACCCTTTGCTCGTCTTCTCTTTTGCCGTGTTTAATCGAGCCCATCGAATATCGTTTCCCTTTTCTACCGCCTCGTTCTTCGATTTCGTTCGTTATCTTCCTGTTATTTCCCGTGACGTTCTCCTCGCTCGACTGGTTCGTTGTATCATTCGATAAAGGGCCAGGTAAAACGAAGACAAAAACGGCATCGTTCCGGAGAGAAGACCGGTATCCATTATGGCGACATTACGGGGAACGACGCGCGCTTTATCGTTTGTTGGATCGTTACGTAGCGCGAAACGGGAAGAGCCAATCGAATACCATTAAATTTATATGTCTCCTTGCAATTGTAGAAAATTAATAGTCTGCTTCTTCTCTGTTATCTTCGTCACCGAAGAAGCACTCAATCAAACCACGTTCGGTCAAAAGTATTTAAAACAAAAATTAGAAGAAGCAATTAAAGCACTGAGATACCAAGGTTTATATCTACTTTGCCAGTTGTTAAAATATTAAAATAGAGTAATCACGTTTTATACAACTGAAATTTGCGAATGAACGCGTAATGATCCAGCGCGCGTCCTGCCCGCAGAATTCCGGTTTCCGAGGCACGGAAGAAAACCGTAAATATTCGAACGAAAACATCGTCGAAATTTCGCTAGCAGAGATAAGTATGATCTCTTCTTTTGATTTCCTTCTTCCGTCGCGGAGAAATTGCAACGATAACGCATAAATAAAACCGTGAAAAAACTATCGGTGAAGTCTATGAGTCAGGGGTCGAGAATAAAGAGATTTATCGACTGAAAAATGTAGGAGACCCCCGTTCGGTGCGAGTTTCGTAAAGAAATCTGTAACTACTCTTCATGGTAATCGCTCGAGCAACTGGGATCCTCCTTGTCGCGGCTACAGGCCGATTATCGTCTCTTCGACGAAATCCTTCCGCTCGTTCGAGCTCGGCTCGCGAGGAGGAGCGTCGTGACGACGCGATTCGACGCTAACTCGGCTTCTACTCCATCGCGGCTTCCTGAAGGGCGTGAAGATGAGCATAGAGACCATCCGCAGCTATTAAGTCGTCGTGAGTACCCATCTCCGCGACCGTTCCCTTCTCCAGCACGCAGATCACATCAGCGTTTCTTATGGTAGCCAAACGATGCGCTATGGTGATACATGTTCTACCCTCCATGGCTTTGTCCAGGGCTGCTTGCACCACCTGCGAACACACCGTGCAAATAGCCATTTAGACCCACCTTCCTTCGTTTCCATAACCCTAATCCCAAGTTTACGTAACTTGGCCGCTTTGAATATATTATCATAAACTACGGATTAGTCGCAACATGGCACAAACAGTAAAAATTCTGAACGATAAATGTTTGCATTAAATAACATTGTTGTCGATTTCAAGTGGTCATCTTGAATAATCGATCTTCCGAGGATAATTCTAATGCCATTCCGAACGGTACGTTTCATCGAACTTCGTGGACCGGTGAAAAAATGGTACGCGATGAAAAAACTCGACAGTCGAAATGGTTTCGACGTTTCCTGGATTTTCTACGTTTGATCAAAAGAGGGGTTTCATATACGCCTGACGGAACAGACAAGATATGATTTCGTTCGTAATGTGATATATTAGCACGCGGTCGAGATCCGCCCCGTGCAAACACACATATGAATTTTAATTTCGAGTAAAATTACCATATAAAGCGTGTCCCTTTCTGTTATATAATGTACTATAGAAGCAAGTCGCGCGATATCTTTTTTCGTCGGCTTCGGTTCGCGTTTTTTGCTCGTATTATTCATTAAAATCCATCAGGATCCATTAATATTCATCAGCCGGCCGAGCTCGCAACACTACTTTACATCGCGTCTGCTTTACATCGAACGAATGTTACTCGTGGACGACCGTCCTAATATTCATCGTCCACGGTTGTAAAATATTTTTGCGTAATCTGTACGTTGTGTCACGAAAGTGCACCTACGAAACGAGGGGCAACTGCTTTTTGCGTCGAAGATTGGATAAATGTCGTCAACCCGTTTTCGTGTCGTGTACCATTAACTGTAAAACATTTGTTTCTTCCTTTCCAACAATTTTAAAATTTTCCTACAATTTTAAAATTAATTTCGTAATTAAATATTTTGTAAAAATTAGTAGTAGTCGAATCGTTTAAAAAAAAGGCTTCCTCTAGAGTGTGTCTGACGCGTCTCCAGAGGTTTTAAACCGAGCTCCAATCGAAAAGAAAATCGATGTCGAGGGTATTGTCGCAGTGGTCGATCCGGAGGTCATTAAGTCGATTGACCGTTCGAACTCTCGCGAGTGCAATAACGAACGTGACTCTCCGGTGAACTTTCAATTGAATACTGTTTCAACTTCTCTGCAATGTTATTGTTGCCTCGAGAAACGATCCTAAATACGAGCGGACATTACACGGCCCTTTTTAATTGGACGCGAACAGTACGACACAATGCGGAGATGAGCAAAAATGCGCGGCTTTTGTCGTCCCGAGAATTCCTCGCGGTTCTTCAGCATCGCCTTCAAAGGCGGCTGGTCATTTTTTTCACCGCGACAAAAAAAAACGTCGCTGGTTCCCGTCGCATATTATATTTCTGAATGCCCGTCTCGTCCACTTCACACTGATTTTACCAACCATTTTTCGGAATGCACGCTTTTCGCAACCCTCTTGACGACGCTTACGGATGGTTGGACGACATTTTTCGAGGGAACCATTCGCGAAAATAATGGCTTGCGGGGAACAAAAAGATCCTCGTAAGCGTGAGATCACCTGCATTATGAATAACGAGTATGAGATTTGTATAACAAAATACTATCGGCGAGTACGTGAAATGAATATTTAATCCACGGTTACTCGCACCGTTGCTACTTAGCGTGGAATTATTAATGCGTTTGGTCCCGGAAGAATCGCTTCATAATTCAAAAGTTTGGACAGTAATGGATAAATAAATAATACTTTGCATGCACAAATGAGCGTATAAACATAACTCAAACAGATCGTCCTGTGATCGAACATTTACAGTGTCTTGATATCGAACTATATAGTTATCAAATAAGTACGTTCTACTTGGAATATCCATACTCGTATGTATAGTTCTAATTAAGACCACTACCCGTGTTCCACAAAAAATGACATTAGACATCAGAATAATAAGTTCAACTCATCAGAACAAGTTGCGGTTAAGCCACAGCAAGAATGAGTACCGAATTCGTTCATGGATAATTAAGGACAAACATCGAACACCACTTGAAAGTGTCTTACCTGTTCACTCTGAGTGTCGAGGGCAGATGTGGCTTCGTCCAGCAGCAGGACACGAGGATTCCTGACCAAAGCTCGAGCTATCGCTATACGTTGCTTTTGTCCTCCGGACAATTGCGTTCCCTTAGATCCTAACCTAGTATCGTACCCCTGTAACAGATCATGAACAACTATCTTACACACCCGTACCCTTTTGACATCGGGACCGATCCGTGCTACAAGATGGATACTCACTAATGGTAGAGAGCTGACGAAGCTGTGGATATTCGACTTCTTGGCGGCCTCAATGACCTCGTCCATCGTGACGACCCGAGAATTGTCACCGTAGGCGATGTTCTCCGCGATCGTCCTGTCGAACAGCACCGGTTCCTGACCGACCACACCCAGCTGCGACCTGAGATTGCGCAAGGAGACCGACGAGATATCACGACGGTCCATGGTCACCGTTCCCGAAAGCGGATCGTACAGTCGTTGCAAGAGTTGGATGCAGGTGGACTTTCCGCATCCGCTTTGACCCACCAGGGCGACCATCTGACCTGGCTTCACGATTAGATTCAGACCCTGAAGAATGGTCATCTCTGGGCGCGTTGGATAGTGGAACTCGACTTTCGAGTACTGTATCAGACCCTCCGCTTTCTGCAATCGAGACAGTTGGGAATATGTCAAATGACAGGTGGATATACTTGACAGGTGGATAGTCAGCTGTTAAGCTTTAGACAATTCCGTGCGCAAACTGTTGCGTAGGATCAAGGAAGAAATCGATCGTCGGACAATCTACGGACGTTTGAATCGTATTACACGCAGTCCGTTCGCTTGAGAACATTGTTCCATTAAATGGTTTGAAATTCCAGAGAGATAGCTGTAGTCCCGATCAAATACAGCCTCCTCCGTTTTCAGCGTAATTAACGCGTGTTGCCCGGAGCTGTACTGCCAATACGTCACAAATTCAGCGACTGGCTAAACAATTCTAATGAAACGACAGGAAGGCGCCATTAGATTACTACGATATTGTTCCGTTCAAACAAAAGAAATCCCGGCTAACAATCGAATTATCGATACTGTCTGCGATTACACGCGATAACGTGGCAGACATCAGCTTAGACAATTCTCGAACAGCCTCTAATTAATCTTGCACGAATCGATCACTCACCCAATCCAGATCTTTATCTTCCGACCCCGGCGGCGAAGTAAGTTCCGGAACTCTGTCCAGCAGTTTGAATATCCTTCCAGCTGAAATCTTCGCGGTGTTGAAGTTGGGCGCAAAGGCGAGGGCTTGCCCCAACATCCAGGAGCCAAAGATCAGCGCCTCGGACACCTTGATCACGTCTTGATAGCTTAATCCTTCCGTAGCCACCAGTGCACCTCCGTAATAAAGGCTCAAAGCGTAGCCGAAGAACGGTGTGGTCTGTCCGCACGAGAACACCAATCCTCTCAACCTGTTTCTGATTCTGGTCGCTTGCGCAACGTGATCCAGTTCCACGCAGTAGCGTTGCAAGAAGGCTTCCTCTTTACCCAGACTGGCCACCGTCCGTATGTTCGAAATAGCCTCGATAGCGATCCTAGTAGCCGCCTCCATCTTCTTCTTCTCCTGCAAGCCTTGACCACTCATCACTCTGGCCTCGAAGAACACCGCACCCAGCACCAACGGTATCGAGACGACGGACACCAGCGTCATCTTCCAGGTATAATACATGGACAGACCGATACCGAGGACCAACGTCGACAGAGCCTGCAAGATCGCTCCAATTCGGGTACCTGTGGCACCCTGGACCGCTCCAGCGTCCGATGACAACCTGGCGCAAAGTGCACCCACGCTGTTCGTGTCCTCGTCGTACCAGCCCATTTCTTGCTTCAACATCGCAGCAAACGTCATCCTCCTGATCCTCGTGGTCATACGCACTCCGGCCAAACCGAACATGTACATCTGCAGGAAGGTGCCCACACCGGTCACTATACCGACCACCAGGAACAGAATCGAGAAGTTGACCGTCTCGCGGCGCACTTCGTCGGCGTCTTGGAGACCCAACACGTAGTAGACTTCTCCGAACAGTACCGCGAATGCTGGGAAAGAGGCGCCCACCATGGCTGCTGCCAGACATCCTGAAATACATTCACCGTGGTTCTTTGTCAATTTGGGATTGGTAGAAGATTAATGTCGAAGATGGAGAAGTTGGAAGATTGGTTAAGTCTAGGTGTCCTAAGTACCCAACGTAGTTTCCTTTTCATAAAAATGTGAAAACCTATTCCTAGCTGAATATCCCTAATTGTGAACCCTCAGGAAAATGTTAGAAAATTGCGTCCCATAGTTTGCCACACATTCGATGTAACTAACCGACAATGTTGAAAGGCCATTCCGGTTTGTTGAGTCCAAATATCCTCATCATTGGTGCGTTGTACGGTTTCTCGTTCTCCTCCAACTGATTCGCCGAGCTTTCAGATGCGCCCGCCAGAGATAGACGGTGAGAGTGCATCGACAGAGTGGAGAATTGTCTCTTCAGTGGTGGCTTTTGTTGTTTCGGGATGGCTGCCGTGACTGTCTTTGCCGCTGATGCCGTTGCTTTGGCTGGTTTGATGGAAACATGTGTGCGTCAGTATACTATTCAATTCTGTAAACTGCTTTCAAGAACGAACGCGATGGAAATGCGGGTTGTAGCCATAGTGATGGTACAAAGGATGGTTCCTCGTACGGAATCGAATCGAAAGCGTGAAATGAAGTTTCGTAAAATGGGTCGTAATGTGTTTGATTTTACCTCTGGCAGTCGCGCTGGCGTCAGCAGAGACCAAGCCGTAATAATGTTGCTTCAACGCGAGTAACTCTTCGTGGGTACCCTGTTCGACGACCTGTCCATCCTTGATGAATACTATCCTGTCGGCGTTGGTGATAGTCGACAATCTGTGGGTGACTACGATGGTAGTTCTGCCCTTTGCGGCAGCGTCCAGAGCCCTTTGTACCGTTGCCTCGCTGTGGAGATCCAAAGCGGAGGTGGCCTCGTCCAACAGAAGTATAGCCGGTCTTCTCACTAGGGCTCGAGCAATCGCGATTCTCTGTTTTTGTCCACCGGACAATTGCGACCCTCTCTCTCCCACGGGACTGTCGTAAGCCTGGAACACGTGATTCTTACGTGAAACTCCCGAAGGAATCGATTGAAGGGATTACGAGATATCTTCTTGATACACATCGATATGTTCGAAGTAGCTATGAAAACGTATATACTGATTTTACGACTGAAATACTTAAAATTTAATACTTGACGCTGATATGAATGAAGGACACTCGAACAGTTGTAAATGTGTGAATGAAATCTTTGACGATGGAGAATTGGGGAAATTGTAGAAAATAATCATGAGCGGAAATTGAGCCAGCGGCAGCATTTGTTGATAATTATCGAGAGAGGGGAGCATCGGCGCCATTTGCTAGTTCGATTAGTGTACGAGCGGCAAGAGGCCATCGAGGTCTCTGCGGTTTGAAGTAACGATTATTTCATTAACGGAGAAACGACGTGACGCGCCTGCAGCGCACATGCACCACGTCGAGATTTAATAAATTTACGAGGAACAGCACTTCGCGTGGCATTCGCTGTAACGGAGTGGTTTAATGCTTGGCGACCAGTTGCCACAATTCAACTATTAGATTTTAGCCACAATGAGGCAGCTCATTTTTGATGTTGCAACACCACACTTATTCATTTAATATTACTATTGTGCACATACAAATATATTCTGATGTGAATAGCTACATTTAGAGTCAAGTTGAAATTTTTATTCAGTACCATACTTGTGCATTGGCGTAACTATGTAGAGATTGTATTTTTTCAAAATACAGACCCTAAATTTAGTGATTGTGGAAAAAAGATGGTTACGCCAATGGTAACTGTATGCATTTGAAAGAAGTATTCTTGCGTGTTTCTGACACAACATTTTATCAACTAACACTGACGCGTTACGTTCGATGAGCCGGCATAACGCGTGACGATCGATCCGTCGCCCCGTAAAATAAACCGTCTGGTGTTTTCCATAAAGCGGAAAATGTCAGGTTCGCTTGTTTCCGCGGATCGTTGCAGTCCTAAACGCGACATAGAACAAAGGGCTAAACACGAGCGTATCCATAGGGAGACACGGTGAAACCATCGGATTCAGCTACCGATAATTCGGTAATAAACGGCTAATCGTTGACACAACCGTAATCTGGGATAGTGTTATTTGCCCGGGAACGGTTTAACGGCTGTTTTATCGCCTGTTTGCACGCGTGTTCCGCGGATCGTCGGTCACACCTGAGACTATTGTTAACGCGTTGCCAACCGCCCGATCCTCTGGTGGTTTAACGTATGTTCCACGTGAACATCCGAGCGATTATGGAGATAAATTATCATAGATATCGCGGCATAACTTCTCGACGTTGAAGAACGCAATCAACTATAACTCGTACTTCGATTGTTAATATTATATTAAATTCGTCGAAAGCTACAAAATGGCAGAGCATCAAAAGATTAGATTTCTCAGAAGAAGATGCTTTTGATCTCTAAGGCAAACGCAATCCTTTGAAAGTTTGATAATTCGAGGACCCGCAAAGCGAGCGCGTAGACAAAAGCAAAAATTATTAAACGTTTTTATCGTATTTAAAATTTCTTTAGAAATCACTTGCACGCGGATCGACTTCTCGAAAGAGGCCGGTTATCGTCGAGAGGAACAGTGGAGGTACGCCGCGAGATACGCGGTAGAACGAGATTGAAATTCAAAGCGTGTTCACGGTCCGCGGGCACGATTTTAATTAGACGTTCCTTTGTGCGGAATAGCGAGGGATTCTATGATCCATCGGTACGGAAAAAGGAGCTCGGGGATCAGGGCAAATTTTCGACTAGACCGTGTTACGCGCTCGTACACGATCGAGACGATGTCCTTCGCTGAAAAGTGACCGAATCAATCGGGGACAAGGATGGCCCCCGTCTGTCGTCGCAAAAGGGAAACCGAAATTCCGGCTAGAGAAACGCGAACAGAATGGCAGAAAGGTTCATCCACTCACCTCGGGCAGTTTGCTGATGAAGTCATGAGCGTTCGCTTCCTTCGAGGCTTTGATCATCTCCTCCTCGGTAATGCTGTCATTTCCGTACCGGATGTTCTCCCGTATCGTTGTGTCAAAGAGCACTGGCTCTTGCCCGACCACGCCTATGTAAGAGCGCAGCCACTGAACGTTTAGCTTCGATACGTCCACACCGTCCAATAAAACCTGTTTCAACAAAAAAAAACACACACAATCGATTTTGTGCGAATTGTTCGCTCCGATTGTACGAAAACCCGCGCAAAACTGTTCCGCGTTAAACGAAATTGTTAAGGTCTCTGTTGGTTATAACCAACGATCAGCCATTTCGCGTTCAAAGAGTTAACGAAAGCGTTATACAATCGTTTTTGTGAAACTTTTTAGCTATAAATTGATATATCGCGAGCGATACTTTTATGCGACGAAATTGTATCGGACCAGCTATGCTTCGAAATCGGCCGTTTGATATAAAACAAAGGGTTAGCAATAACGAAAAGAAGAACAATTCGTATTGTCGGTTGAAATCTCCCCTAAATTTCCTACGAAGTTATTTATCGTGTTCCAAGTTAACAATAACCCTGTCGTGAATATTCCATTATTGCATCTGTAGCTGCAGCAGGGACGCGAATTTCACGGAACAAGTTTGAAGCGTTTCTCACTGGAATACAGTGCCGACCGGAGTTTTCTCAGTAGTAAAAGTTTTACGATTCTCCTGGTTCTGCATCCGTCGCAGTTGCCCCGCCAAAAATATTACGTCATATATTTGGCATACTGATTTCAGACCCGTTCTCCCCGAGCCCTTTACCCACGGCATTTACGTTTTCCGCGTCGTTGCTACACCGATGCCGATAAAAATTCCTCCCTTAGGAATCTATTTGTTCGACAAAGTATCCCAGCCAATTTCGAATACGATCATTCCCTTCTTCCTTGATCGAATCTGACTCGTGAACTTCGTTCATTTTTCTGACGCGAACTCTAAATTTTGATGTTTCCATAAAATCGGCCTTCGAACTGGCTCGTACAGCTGGCAGCTGTAATTTCACCGAAAACAAAAACGTCGTCGGGATATTCATGACTCGACAGTTGGTTATTAACCGAGCTCGTTACGCAACATCTGTACAAAAATACAGCGCGGGTCTTACGTTGCAATAAATTGCTCTGCTCTCGGAAAACAAACAAATTGGAAAGGAACTTACGAGCATCGTTTTGAAAATTCATTGCAAAGGTAACAATGTTACACTATGCCGCCTGAACAAACAGAAAATGTAGAGATTGCAAATATTAACTCGTTAAGCGACTCGGATGATTTACGTGTCTCAAGATTGAAATAGTGCAAGCATTTGATTTCCAAGTATGCAGGTATCTGGTACAAACTGGTCGATACTGCTGGAGCATTACAGAGAGCGATGGAGAAGTTATGCAATGTTGACTTTCTTTAACTGCGAGTTAAGGAGGGGCCTACTATTTACTTTCGGGGTTAGGCCAGAGGGTTAATCACTCGAATTAGTCCACTCGAAGACTTTAACCCTTTTGAGGGCTACTTGATGGTTAACGTGTTCAAAAATTAGATACAGAAGCTCTGATGGTGGCTGAAGGTTAGAGTTTACAGAGATTAGTTCTCTCAGAAAATAGTTAGGCCACTCACTAGATCATCAGTGGATCAACCACTCATTAGTGCACCCAGAGACTAATCCATTCAAAGGTTAGCAAATGACTCGATTAAAGAAGATTAACCACAGAGAAGGAAAACCCGATTTAAATAGTAAATAAAGAAATTACTTACCTGTCCTTTAAGCGGATCGTAGAGACGTTGAATGAGCTGCAGACAGGTCGACTTTCCGCAACCCGATCCGCCGACGAGGGCTACGGTCTCTCCGCGATTGATCTTCAGATTTAAGCCTTGGAGCACCTTCACGTCCTTTCTAGCAGGATACTGGAAATGCACGTTCTTGAACTCGATCTCTCCGGTGACGGATGGAAGTCTCTGGCCTTCTTTACTCAAACTGTCGATCGCTGGCACGTGATCGAGCACTTGGAAGATAGCTGCTGCCGAACCCCTAGCTACGGCGAACGCTTCGAGATGCGGCGATGTTAGACCCATGTTCTGAGCACCAGCCAGCACACCGAAAAACACTATCACCAATACTGCTGGTGTGTATTCTTTCACCTCCTTTGGTCTGTCTTCCAGAATCAGCTGGACACCGTACCTATTAAAGACCATGGAAATTAAAACGACTTAAAACATAGAAGTTAAAAGGACGTACAAAATAAAGCATTGCTTAGAATATAAATTAACATATGAGTACTTTTGTGAGAATAGACAGCAGTGACCTTGAACTAAGTTCGAGTTAGATCACTTTGGATTAGCTCAAGCCACGTCCTTGTGATAATTTGAAGACTGCAATCTTAAAAACTGCAGTGTGGATGTTCAAGTACTCCCACTTTGTTTTCCTCCTTTTGTCCCCGTAAAAAGAGTCAACATTTTAGACAACAGGAAACAACTTTTCGAGTAAAGATCGTTTACACATCGAGTCAAAGAAGAACATTCAAGGTCGGCACTTTCAGCGGCAAACAAAGCCTCACGCCACGCAATGTCTCCCTTTTAAACCAAACAGCTTTTGCTCGAAACATCCCTGGCACAATGTAAAAGCAACATGGTTGACCCGTTTCTACCCCGCTCATGGGTGTTTGCTCTCCTCGAAAGCATTTGCTCTAGAAATACAGCCCTAACGTCTACGAATCTATCGACTAACATATTTCTGGAAAGCCTTCTCGGTAAATAAGCGTCCAGTGGCCGAAAGGCTCGAGGAACAGCAATCTCTACGTTATCTGTCGGTCCACTCGGTTATATAAACAAAATTTTTGTTTGTTTATCCACGTTTTCAAATATAAATAGAAATTATCTTTGCAAGAAATGCTTTCCAATTTAATCCGCTCGATTCATCAAACTGATTACTGATCAAAGCAGTCTGCGTATTTTATCTGCTTCAGGGCGACACTCGTTTCTTTTGAAATATACAAGAAATTACAAGGATAAAACTCTCTCGCCGCACTTAAAATCGATCCAATCAACGCACTCCGGTCGTATGTAATTGAAGTTACTTGTGCGATTCTCAAGTGATTAATGGGAAATTACAAAAGCAGCTTAATAACAGAAAATCAAGCTTTTGAAATATCGAATCAGAACTCATGTTTCATTCATTCTTCGAATTCTGACGAAGCTGAAATAAATCGGACTGCGGATGTTTAGAAATAATACACCGAGGTATAATTCAAGTTATGCATAAATATAAATCGTGCACAGTAAGTCATATTTATAGATAACTCATATTTATAGACTACCCGAAGGTTGTGCATAATTTTTACTTCGATAAATGCATAAACATAGAAACGTACCAAAAGGCTATAGCGTAGCTGATGTATATAATGAACCACATCACGCCTCCACCGACTCCGGACCACATTCCACGTCTTATTCCGGTCTTCTCGGCTGGGACAAGCTTTTCGGCGTATCTGTCCACTTCTTTCTGCTCGCCATTGAACGCAATCACTGTCCTAATGGCGCCCAACACCTCTTCGGCTACGCTTCCAGCTTGGCCGTACGCGGACAACTCTTGTGCCGTCAACGAAGATTGAACTTTCGCCACCACTGCAGTGGCAATCACGATGATCGGCGCACAACTTAACACCACGAGCGTTAGTTTCCAGCCGTAGACGAACGATATGATGATCGAGGAGATGAAGGAGACCATCAAGTAGGTGAACACGCCGAGCTTCTCGCCGATACCGTCCTTCATTTTGTCCAAGTCCCTGCGAAACAAATGGACGATTCCATCAAATGGAAGATTCGATTCTTAAGTTAATATGTTAAGCGTAAATTGTTGTAAACTGTTAAGCATAAACAAAGCCAAATATTTCGAACTTTTAAAACAGTCGATGTGTCCCATCAGTCCCGACACCGAAGCTGTTAGATGAAATGTATGCTCCTTGAGCTTAAAATTACCAAAGAGGGCACCTTGAATGCACGGTAATTAGATTTCGTTAAATATAACCCCGTTTGTTACATTGCAAGATAATACTCGTTGGGTGCTTTCAAGGTGACCCACCGCGTAAGATAAAACTTTAATTAATTCTCTGAATGGTTGCCCGACGTCTGTGTTATTTTCGTCGCCAACTTTCGATAGAAGCAACGTGAACTTATACGCTAACTGCGTACGCGGTAAATCACCTTCAACGAAATGGCAACGAGCCTGGTCTCGAAGTTCCGTGAAAAACATGATTCAGAAAATTTTCAGACCGATTAACGAGCTGTGTCTACGTGTATCGTCAGGTGTCAGTGACCCGAGGTCATCAGACTATTATCTCACGACAAAGTTTCGAGTCATTGAAACGAAGCTTCCTGAAGCATGTACGCCCACGAAGCTTGCGTACAAAGTGTGTCGTAAGCGTTTGCAACATTGATGCATTCTCTAGAGATTGAAATAAAATTGTCTATCCGAATTTTGCCTCGATGGTAATTAGCGTGTTACGTATCGTTGACTTTCCGCTAATTACATGACCGCAAACAGAGACATTGTATCGAGCAAGGATACGGAGTTTCGCGAGAACGGCCACCTGTTGATGAGAGGATCTCGTTTCCTGAACTTTGCTCGTCCCTTCTCAGCCAGGACTCTCCACGACGCGTTTACATCCGTTCACGGACTTCCAGATCGAAGATATTCCTCTTCGAGCTGGATCGCGGTGACAAAGTACGATTGCTTAAGTAGATATATATCTTTCTGGCTGCTCTAACGCGACTTGGATTTTTGAATGAGAATGTAATAAACTTAATCGCTAAGTTTCATGAATATTTGGTGGATGACGTGATGACACGATTAGTTAAGGATTAGAATGTGAACTCACTCTGTGATCCTGCTGGCGAAGTTGGTCGACGTGTTGATGTCGTACCATGTCATGTCTTGCCTGAGAACGGATCGCAGGAACATTTTGCGCACTCTGACGATTTGTCTGGAAGCTGCGATGTTTAACAAGTCGACCGTGAATACGGCGAAGACGAATTGGAAGCAAGACAGCGCTGCAGAAGATACGCCAAAGGCCACCGAGTCATCGTAAAGCGCGATCATCCTGTCTTCGTACGACACGTTAGGTCCCCTAAATCGAAAGCGATTGCAAATTACACTAGATCCACAATCTCCAAACGATATTAAAAAATACTGAACTTCGGTAGGGCGCATAAATTGTATAAATTAATCGAAAGCGACTGAAACCGTCAGTTGAATTTTCTAATTTCTGGAATTACAAGCTAACGCTATTCGTCATGTTTAAACATAGAAATTAATTAGGAAGGATTATTGATAAAAGTTTCTCCATGTGTACAAACAGATTAACGGTGCTTATGCAACAACCTAACATTATCGCATCTGATCCCTTGTATCCTCTTATCAAATACGTTAATCCTCTACACACTTGTGTAACTTTAATGAATTACATTAAACTTATATTTCCGGCTTTATAATTTGCTACTGACGTGTCGACCATAATTCGTGCTGACATTTGAAAAGCACCAGAACGTTGTATTATATCGTAATAGTCAAATTTAAGTAGCTGATATATTAAATAAGTGAAAGTAATCGTATATAATGCGACACATCTACAATTTGGCACCTAACATTAACGCAATTTAAAATCGTTCTTATGTCTATAAAATTTATGACGATCATAATCCCCTCGACAAGTGACAAATTTAAACACCCTAATTGTTCCTTTCCATTAACCTCATAATCCACTACCCTCGATAAATTTGATCCCGGTCCAAATTGAACCGCTTATATTAACCCGAACTATTTCATCTTTTTTCCTTTCAAACACACAAAACACACCCAAAGGAAACGCTCACCCTAGGCAAGTTCTAAAAATACGAGATTCAGTAGGCGTGTCTGGTTGCGCCAAGACTTACAAGACCTTTCCACCTCCGAACCACTTCAGAATGAGTGTCGGCGTACTCGTTTGGTTCTCCATGTTACGATCCACCAGCAACGTGGTGAATTCTCCGTATTGAATGGTCGAGATCGGGATGCAAAGGCCTGTCAATGTTCCCATGATCAGGCCACCGACGACCAACATCAGCTCCCCGCATGTTGCAAATCGAAACTGCGAACATAATCCGTCACCGATTCTCCGTTAGAATTTCATTTCGCTATTAGTATCGTTATATGGCCATTTACTAGGTTGCTGGACTGAGAGTTGGGAATTTAGGAATTGGGGAATGTGGGAATGTGGGAATTGAGGGATTTGGCAATTGGGAATTGGAGAATGGGGAAATTGGAGAATGTGGGAATTGGGAAATGTGGAATTGGGGAATGTGGGAATTGGGGAATGTGGGAATTGAGGAATGTGTGAATTCGGAAATGTGGAAATTGGGGAATGTGGGAATTGAGGAATGTGTGAATTCGGAAATGTGGGAATTGGGAAATGTGGAATTGGGGGACGCGGGAATTGGGTGACGTAGTAATTGGGGGATGTGGGAATTGGGGGACGTGGGAATTGGGAGACGTGGGAATTGGGGAGCGTGGGAATTGGGAAACGTGAGAATTGGGGAATGTGGGAATTGGAGAACGTAGGAATTGGGGAGTGTGGGAGTTGGGAAATGTGGGAATTGGGGAATGTGGAAATTGGGGAATGTGGGAATTGGGGAATGCAGGAATTGGGGAATGTGGAAATTCGGAAATGTGGGAATTCGGGAATGTGGGGATTCGGGAATGTGGAGATTCGGGAATGTGGGAATTCGTTAATGTGGGAATTCGGGAATGTGAGAATTCAGGAATGTGGGAATTGGGAAATGTGGTAATTGGAGAATTCAGGAATTAGAGAATTCGCGTCAATTACGTGCGTCAGATTATCGGCTTTGAAAGTTCCCATAAACCAAAACGAAGTTGCGCCGGTGACTAGTGACTGGACGACTTTTAATTAATCGCTCGCAAGCATCGACGTTATGTTAATTATCCGGCTGACGCGTAATTCTGCGAAATTCCGCCGCGACGGCCGTGCCGCAATTTGTCGCGAACTAGTCGAAAATTTCAGAAACATATTCTCGGATGATTTAGTGCGGGCGAACTTCACGGTTCTCTTTTTATTTCCAGCAGATTTAACCGAGGAGAAAATTAATACCGGGCTTGAGCCGGTGATTAATGAACGGAGGGAAATCAGACTGTTTCTAAACAAAAAACAAACACGATCGATCGATCGATCCCCGGGAAAACCGCGAGCTCGGTTGACATCTTCCTCCGTTTTCCGAGCTTTCAAGAATGTAAAGTTCGATAAATATTTGCTAGGGAGCACTTACGAGCTTGAAATAAGGCACAGGCGGTAAGGATGGCTCGGTCGGGGCCGGTTTATCGTCCTCCTTCGTTTGCGGTGGCACGAATTCACTGTGGACACAAAACAATATTGATTTTTAATCAAGTTTCCATTCACGAACGTTTCCGTCATCGTATTGTGTTATTCTTTTACTATATGTTCGCGCGATACGTGATCGACTATGCATCGAAAAGTGCTGCCGGATCGTAAATAAAAAGAACAATAGTTTTAATCAAATACTTTTAATTTTTAAACGCTAAACAATCCGGAAACACCAGGCGCGAACACATATTTTCTACGAATAAAAAAAACTTGTTAAATTTATACGATTCTTCTGGGTCTGAGGACTCTCTTTAATTATTTCCACGACTTTCAACAAAACTCCGCAATGTCCTATACTTTTCTGTATGTTAACAATAAAATCATCTGTTAAGAATCGTACATCGGTTTGCCATTCTCTTGTAGCATATACTCAGTCTCCTCTTTATCCTTCTCCGCGTCTTGGAGCGTGTCTGAAATAAAATATACAACGTACCGTACACACATCCGACATATTATTCGACAGTAAAATTTGAAAGCTCGCCTAAAATACTCCACTAACATTTCCGAATTCCCACATTCCCCAATTCCCACATTTCCCAATTCCCACATTCACCAATTCCCACATTCCCCAACTCCCACACTCCCCAATTCCCACGTTCTCCAATTCCCACGTTCCCCAATTCCCACATTCTCCAATTCCCACGTTCCCCAACTCCCACATTCCCCAATTCCCACACTCCCCAATTCCCACATTCCCCAACACACTCCCCAATTCCCACGTTCTCCAATTCTCACGTCCCTCAATTCCCACATTCACCAATTCTCACATTCCCCAATTCCCACACTCCCCAATTCCCACGTTCTCCAATTCCCACGTTCCCCAATTCCCAAATCCCTCCAC